TACTTCTTAGAAGTTGTCAAATTTATTTCAAAAAAGATTTTTGTATATGCTTTCTATATCCTTTTAAATTCTATAAAATCTGTGGTAATGTAGTCTAAATCTTGATATGGTAATTTAAAAAATGTATAATTGATCTTGTGTAATAGGAAGAAAAGGGGTAAAGGAGTATGGGAAGTGGGAGGGGTGGGGAAAGGAAAGAAGGGAAAAGAAAAAATATGAGCAAAGAAAATAATGGAAACAAAGTCTTCGCAAATAGGGAAGGGTGGAGGGGTGAAGGGAGGGCAAGGGAAGGGGGAAAAAAAATAAGAATCAAGATACATCATGTAAAGGTACAAGATCCCAATGATGAAGGTAACTGTATTTTATACATAAAATGTGTTAGTGAACTTAATGAAAAACTAAAGCAATACTTGGAAAATTGGAATCCTTAGAGATACTGGCTGAACTATTGGACCATGTCTCTCTTGAATCTAGATCAATTGCAGGGCTTTTTATTAGATTGGAGGCATAAGGTATTGCTGATAATTTAAGAAGTGTTGACCTATGGGAATGTCATTTTCTTTCACTTCAACCTGACAGTTGAAACTCATTAATTCCCTTGATTGTCTGAGGCAGGCGAATTTTTCATCACTGCAATTCACAGACTTCTAGCTCATACACCCTAGATCTTAGAATCCAGCATGGAGCAAGGAGAGGTACACCCCTAATCTCACTGCTGAGTGCCCAGAGTCTGTCTGTGTGCTGTTGGTGCGCACTCTGTTTCCTTTTACTATAGAAGCTTGGGCAGCACAGAGATGCAAAAGTTTGCTGCAGGAGTGAGGAGCTCTGGCTTCCATGGTGATGCAAAAGAGCATGGGGTCGGCTAAACCAGCCTGTTTTCCAGCAGAGCCAGTCCTGGTGGTCCCCAGGCAGTCAGCCCATCCTGGATGGATGATGATTCTGAGCTCAGGTTATCTGACGGGAGAGAGTTACACAGGAGCTGTGTGGGAGACAGCAGCAGGCTGTGCTGGCAGCTGTGTCTGATGAGGACTGCCTGTCTGTTGCCTTAAGCTTCAGTACAGCCCAGCGTGAATGCCTTTCCCTACAAGATACAAGCACAGGCTTGAGGCTGTTTTTTGATTTTTGTTTGGTTTTGGTTTTAACTGTAAGTTAGTGTTTGGGAATGGCTAGAAGGGATTTGAATGTGACAAGTGAAAACTTTTTTTTTCTCGGTTAGAATACAAAAGATTTAAACTGTTGGGGTTTTTTCCCCCCTGCTCTTGTTGCTCAACTGGTTTCTCTGTCACTAAGTGCACTACAGGCTAAGCTTGAGGTCATAACGAAGTGGAGTTAACACACCATGTTTCACTATTTGCCTTCTGGGGGGAGGAGAAATCACATTAGTGTTTGCATGGAAACTTCTTCAGTGCGGGTTTCCTGTCTATTCATGTGTGCTTTGTGGAGCCTGGCGCGAATCGCAGGGCCAGCGTGAGCCCTGGGCAGTGGGAGGATGTGCTCAGAGGGGCCTTCTGCCATCTTCATCTTTCTGCAGGGATAGGAGCTGGGTCTCCCGCTGAACCATGACTCGTTTCTTAAAGTGTACCAGACTGGAGGTCAGGGGTGGCTGCCAGTGCTTTTCTATTTCCCAATGTGAGAGAATAGCTTTTTCATCATGATACAATGCAACAGTCTGTTGACAACTCTCAGAGCCCAGACCTTTCAAATCCAAGGACTTCTTGTGGCTGTATGCCAGGCTGGGAGACCTGACTCAGCTGTGTTCTTTAGTTAAACATTGTTGCCTTTCTATCTGCCCTACTACTGCTTTATTTCTTTCTATCTGACCCAGATAAAAAGTTTACGTATTCCTTACTGAGCTAAGACATATGAAGACAGTTTAACTTGTTGATATGTACCCTGTTAGGTAATCACTCTCCTTACATAAGCTGAAGTTCAAGTAAAAATTACAGTTTATGCACCCAGTTCCTAAGGGGTACAATGTAGAGAACTCAGTGGGATCTTATTGCAGGAGTCAGATTTGAGCACCTTTCAGCACTTTTTCTGATATGAAAATTGGATTCCCCAGTGCTGTGACTTTTTTTTAATATTCAGATGAAGAAATTATTCTTATTGTAACCTTTTACCTTGGAGGTTGAAGGCAATACTTGGCCTAGCACTGCTTAACTTGCTTTTGATTCTTGCGTGGGCATGAGTAAAGAAGTAGGATCTGCTTCATGCCGTGTGACCCCAAGTGTGCCTGCTTTGAAGGACTGGTCTCAAGTAGAGATTTCATAATGCACAAGATTTGTACTATAATTTTGCATATATATTTTCACTAAGATCAGTTCTTATCTCTATGATAAGTTCATAGAGGTGAACATAAGTTCACCTGTAACAATCAAGAAATAATTGATCGAGCTCCCTTTTGAGGGAAATATGCTAGAAAAGCCTTTTGGAAACTGGTACAATCATGCAGGCTACAGTGGCAACCTGGATCTTAATTTGTTAACAACCACCAGTCACCGGGGGAAAAAACATAACGATAAAGTAGCTAATAAGTAAGAAAACTCATGTTTCATGCCAAGCAGTTAGTTATGTGGGAAACTAATAGGAGGTTGACCTGTATCATCGCCAACATTGCTGGGGAAGTGAAGGGATGAGGGAGTATCTGATGTTGCATTTATTGATTTATATTTCATGTTGTTAGGTGGCAAAGACTCTGGCCCATTGTTTTCACCAGTTCCAAGGTAGGGGGGTCCCTCTCACGGTGGATCTGCTGCAGGATGGCATCTTCGTCCCACTGTTCCAAACACTCTGAATGGCCACACGGGATGCAGGGACAGGCCGAGAGAAGACTCACTGTGATGAGATGGGCTACAGGAAGAGTTTCTAGTAGACAGGACTTTTCTGATCTGTAAGTACAAACTGTAAGTATTGCCATGAGAAATCATTGTCATTATGGATTATATATAAGCTAAATATTAGTAGTGTATTATAATTTGTTAGATGGCCAATATTTTAATTAAATACATTAAGTGTATTATTTAATTGTATTAGTTTGGTAGGGCTGCTATAACAAAGTACCACAAACTAGGTGGCTTAAGCAACAGAAATTTCATTTTTTTAATTTTAATTTTTATTAGTACATATTTGCAGTACATGATGATTACATTCATCATTGGGAGTTGGTACATGTACATAACACATCTTAATTTTTATGTCCCCTTCCCTTTTTCAACTTCCCCCAGAAATTTATTTTCTCACAATTCTAGAGGCTATAAATTTGAGATCAAAGTGTCTACAGGGTTGGTTGCTTCTAAGACTGGGAGTGAGAATCTGCTCCAGGCCTTTGTTCCAGCTTTCAGTGGTGGCTTGCAATCTCTGGAGTTCTTTGATCTGTAGAAGCATCACCTGACCTCCGCCTTCATCTTCACTTGGTATCTCTATGTGTGTGTCTGCATTCAAATTTCCTTTTTTCTATAAGAACAGCAGACATGTTGAATTAGGTGCCCACCCCACTCCAGGATGGCCTCATCATAGCTAATGACTTCTTCAGTTGACTCAATTCCAAATCAGGTAACTTTCTGACATACTGGGACTAGGATGCCAACATGTGGTATTGGGAGAGGGCAACACAGTTTAACCCATAAGAAACACTAAACCCAAAATTAAACCAGATATTCAGGGAGAATGTATCCCAGGGCCTATTTTTAAATTTAATTAAAATTTCAAAGTAGAAAGACACTGTCCCAGAAATTGGTCTTACCATCATTAGGGGAAAGAGAAACAGGTCCTGACTGATGTTTCCCTTCTGAAGAGGCATAGTGACCAGTGAACCAGGCACTGCCAGGATTCTGCTCATGCTCAGAATTCACACATTGCCTTGGAGAACACAGGAGGGAGTTACTGAAGGGCTAGCTCCTGGGGCCACCCAGCTCCCTGTGCTCCTTCTAGGCTTGTGTCATCCTCACAAGAAGTAGATGAATGGAGAGCAAGCGGGTATAAAGAAGTGAAGTCAGAGGTGCAGGACCTCAGCTGCCACACTCCACAGATGGACGGCACTAGAGGCAGAAGAATGGAGTCCAGGACAAAATTTACATGGTTATGTTGTGAAATCTTTTCACCACGATTTGGGTCCATAAAGCATAATTAAGGTAGCCCATAATTCAAGCCACCTTTGCTACACACATCTTACATTTGCAGTCCCTTTTGGCTTCTTGCTCATATCTATGTGCATTTGAGGTGATTTCTATGGAGTAATGTATTACAGAATAAGGCATCCAAATGGCCCCTTTCTAACATCCCTTCATGTACATCAGTGGACAACTCATTGTCTATTTCCTCACATTCCTAGGAAGTGTCACCCACTCTCCTCTGAATTCCTACTGCAGATAACAAGGCTTCTTATCTTTTAGGAATGTCTTACATGCACACTATCAAAGTGTCTCTCACCTTGCCCACCCACAAAGAATGTATCCATTGCTTGTCTTAGTTTGTTTCTGTGCCTATCCAACAGAGCACATCTTAAGGTTAAAGTTTCCTCCATGAACACCTGGTCAGAATGCTGAGATTTACAAAGGTTTCTACACACTGTTTCACACAAACCCATGTCTTGATTGCTTCTCTGTGTGCCTGTAACTGACCTGCAATGAGACTGCTCTTCTTTTGTCCTCTCTGCCCACTCTCAGGGACTGGGTCCCTAAAGAGCCTGTCTGTACAGCACACTGACCACCCCGAAAAGCCTGAAAAGCCAGCAGGAAGTGGAGTCTGATGTGGTTGCTTCATTTTTTACAGATAAAGAAATGGAAATTCAGAAGTTAAGTCACCTACATATGCATGCTTCAATTATATTGAACCCATTTATGAAAGGAGATGTTATAGATTGAACTGTGTTTCCCCAAAATAATATGGTTAACTCTTAACTTGAAGTACCTGAGAATGTGACCTCATTTGGAAAGAGAATTGTTGCTGGGTAATTATTTAAGATGAGATCATACTGAAATAGTGTGGTACCCTGAACCAAAACAACTAGCAACCCCCGCCCCCCCAGACTGGAGTTTGAACCCAAGGCCTCAAGAATGCTAGGCAATCACTGAGCTATATCCCTAGTCCCTAGTGCCCTTTTAGGACGATCACTGCGTGAAGCCAGAGACACCCAGAGAGAAGGCCATATGACATAAAGGAGGAATCGGAAGGATGCAGCCGCCAGGCCAGGAACACCTGGATTTTTTTGAGGCAGGGTCTCACTGTGTAGTTGAGATTGGCCTTGACTAGACTATGTAGCACAGAGTGGCCTTACAGGTGTGCGCCACCAGCCCGTCAGAGCCCAGGAGTGCCTAGACTTGAAGCAACCCACCAGTCATAGGCAGGAGGCTTCTCACCTGCAGGCCTCTGACAGGGCTTAGCCTAAAGGACACTTGATGCCAGACAATCCGCCTCTTGAACTGTGAAAGGTCAGTTTGTGTTGTTTTAAGCAGCACAGGGAAATAAATACAGAAAACAAAGGAGTGTGTGTCCTGAGCCAACTGATCAGGGAGGACTGAGCCGCCCTCATGTTCCTCCACAATTACTGGGTTACTTTGTACCTGTGAGCTTTGGCTCCATACCATATTCAGGTATTTAGAAAAATCAAAGGTGTAAATTAGAAAAAAATTATCACATGAAGAAAAGTGATTTTAGAGTGTTTTGTTTTATTTGAAAAGTGATAAAATGAACTGCGGATTTTTTTTTCTCCACAATAAGAATGATGCAAATGCTGATACTTTCTGGTAATATGAACTGCCACAGAGAGAACAGCTTATCAAAAAAGAAAGGTGGCCAAGGCCATGTAAACATTCTGTGGCTCTTTCTACAAGTTTGGAAAAGAGGAATTTGGTTTCCTGCAATAAATGGCATCAGCTCATTGATGCCCAAGGAGTCAACTCCCTGGTGGGGTAGCCTTCTTCCAGCTGACCTGTGCCATGGCTCCCAGAGGCTGCTTCCTCACTTCAAAAGGGAGACTGCCTTGCCCCCTTCCCTCTGCCCCTTCCTTTGGATTTTTGTCACCTGCTAAATTGTGCCTCGGCATGTGTCCTTTCTCTTGTACTTATCACTGTATCAAAGCCAGGTTCGTGTAGTTGGGCCATTGGATCCTTTCTCCTCAGGTAAACCTTCTTTAAATATCAAGAGCTAAATGACAGCCACCTACAACCAGAATATGGAAAGTTCTATATAGTTATTCCACCAAGTAAATAACATTTTAAAAAGAGGGAAACTTTTATGGGTTGAAATACTGTTAAGAGATCCATCCATCAAGAATAATGTATAAGCCTTGTTTAGTTTTTTGGTTTTTTGTTTTTTGAAACAGGGTCTCACTATGTAGTTCAGGGTAGTCTTGAATTCACTATGTAGCCCAGGGTGGCCTTGAACTCAAATCAATCCTGCCTCAGCCTTCCGAGTCCTGGGATTACAGGCATGTGCCACCACACCTGGCTGTTTAGTTCTTATTGTAAACAGGTATAAAAAGACATTTTTGAGATAATTGGAGAAAATAAAGGAATAGCTATGTACTTTTAGATGATGTTAGATTGTTACTTCAAATCTGTTGGATATGATAGCTGTAAGAGATGTATATTAAAGTATGTTTATAATTTTTCTTTAAAATTTTCTTTCTAAAAACATAGGGGAGGGCCAGGGATGTAGCTCAGTGGTGCTGTGCCTGCCTAGCAAGCACAGGGTCCTGAGTTCAATTCCAAGTACTGGAAAAAAATAAAAGGGGGGGGGGCAAGGCAAAAAAGATGAAATAAGAATAATTAGTGTGACTGCATGTGACTTCTACATGTTTGAAAAAAATATTTGCTTTAATGTTGAATAAAAAGTAAAAGAGCAAGGGGCTGTGTGCTCTCTCGTGCCAAAGCCGCTTCAGCTCCATGCCTAGGAAGGTACACTGTGTGAGGAGCACAGTGAGTGTCTCTGAGGTCATTTGATCCACACGAGAGCAAGTGCAGAACTCAAGTCGATTCCCATGGTCCTACGAGTGTCCCAGAAAGGCACTGTTTTCCAGTGAGCATAACCTCGTGGCTTGCAGCCTTAACCCATAATAAATGTGAAAACTAAGTGAGCTGGGCTGGGATCCAACTTAAAAGCTCTGTCCTGAATGGGGAGCAGCTGCTTTCACGTAGAGCCCTATGGTTCATGGCCTTTTGCACAGTGAGCTGTGGTCCTTTATCTCTTCTGCACCTGTGTTGACTTTCTTCTCTTAGTCTGAACTCTTGGACTCTTTGTCCTAGAAAAAAAACTTAAATCTTGTTTTATAATGCTGGTTCAAAAAATTGACGCTTGGATAGTTCATCTCCATGCTAGAAGTGCACTGATTTGTTTATTGTGTCCAGGGGTCCTTGTGCTCTGTGTCCTCTGAAAGGCCCTGGAAGCCAGTGTGCTGTGGTATCCATGAGCACACATGGTTCTCGGACTGTAATCTTTAGCACTGTTTCCTTTTGAAAGGAGCCAGCACTCCTCAGAGAAGTGGCAAGTTCCAGGGCTAGGATGGTACAGGTCTAGCATGAATATGGAGTACCTTATCATGCTACAAAAGAAGGACTGATTAAAATAAAAAGATGAAGCTTATCAAAAGGACACAGGGGGCCACTTTGAGGGGCTCCAATTGGCTAGTCTGGTACAACTTGAGCATATAAGACAGTAAAGTACAATACTAGCTTATAGTATTGGGAAAAAAATGAATCTTTGAGACCATAATGATAATAAAAAATGAAGTAAAGGAGAGAGAAAGGCAAGCTCTTATTCATAGGTCTGGTAAATGTAAAGGAGTGCAGGAGATGGAAAATCATCTGCAGCCATCACCGAGAGGATTGATTCAGGGAAGAATCACTGAAGGCTGCTAAGTTCAAGGGGAATTTTTGTTTGAAGATCAGGATC